CCCGAGCCCCTGGGAAGGGGCTGGAAGGGGCTGGTCGCCAGGGTAGGTCCTGGTGGACGACTTCGGAAGCGGCGGGCCCGCAGCTGCGGACGCCTCTCCACCCGAGGACCCACGCGCGCAGCCAGCAGGCGGCCTCCCCGCCCCCCGGACCACCGGGGCCTGTGCCCGTGCCGCTCCCTTTCGCAAGATTTTGATTAACTTCGTTTGATTCTATTATTCTGAGTCTCTCTCTGTAGCCCAAGGCTGGCCTGGTACTCTGTGCAGCCCAAACTGGACTCGACTCGTACAATTCTCCTGCCTCGGCCTCCGGAACGCGGAACTCCGGCGCTCACACCCGGCCTCACCTCTCTCTGGCTGTGATTCCCGGCCTGGCTCCTTCCTCTCCCCGAGGCCAAGCCTTGCGGTCCTGGTCCCTCTCCCGCTCCACGCGCCCGCCCGCACCGCGAGCCCGGCGACCCAGTCCCTTAACCCAGAAGAGACAAGGTGTGCGGGCGCCGCGTCGGTGATGCAGGACTTCCCGAGGGGCCGCGCGGGCTCCTGGGCGTCTGGCAAGTGCCAGGAAGCCCGAGGGCATCTTTCCAGAACATTATTCTGAACCGATCAACTGGTTTGTTTCGGTTGCGTGTACAGGCTCGGGAGGATGGAGAGAGCACGCGTTGGGTAGCAGAGTTGGGACTTGTCTCCGCATGGACCGTGGGATGTTTCCCGCCGCGCGTGGTCTTCCCCCCCACACACACTCCGGCTCCCGCCGCTCCTGGACTCCCCCCTCCAGCTCTGGACGACCCCCTGCTGCTCCCCGGCAGAGGCCGCTTTCTGAGCCCAGAAAAGTTAGTGCCCAGTTCAGAGACCCCGATGCGCCCGGGTTCTCTGGCTCAGGCGGGGAGCACCCTGGGTCCGGAGCCTCGCAGGACCACACTGGCCGCTCCAGTTTCCAGACATCCCAGAACTCAGTTCTCGTTTAAAGGTCACAAAGGCCATTTCTAGTGGAGAAAGGGATCCGGATCGATTTACAATTCGTTCATATAGTCACTGACAAAGGCACACATCGCCACAGTAAATTTCAGCCCTGACTTTTTATGTGCAAAATTTTGCAGGTCGTGGTGGTGCACGCCTGTAGTCCCAGCACTTGGGAGGCAGAGGCAGGCGGATCTCTGGGAGTTCAAGGCCAGCCTGGTCTACATAGTGAGTTCCAGGACAGCTGGGGTCACAGGGAGACCCTGCTTCAAAAAGAAAAGAAATTTCAATTTCTAAGAAAATGTATTTTAGTATTTAATAAAAATAGACCAAGTTTTCTTAAAGTTCTCACAAGTTAACACTGAATTATTCAACAAATAACAGCAATCTGCAATTAATAGTTTTCAAATTAACTAAATTCTTCCTTTTGGGGGCTAATACCCCAAGCTTCACCTGGAACTCTGTACTACAGGCCGGCCTCGGACTTGCAATCCTCCCAGAAATGGGTCTGGGCTTCCAAGAAAGTGACCACACAAACCAAACAATTTTGGTAGGACAAAAAGTTTTACTTAGGCTGAAGGGTGCATAGCTGCTCTAAATCCAGGAGGCACAACTAGCCAGGATCCTACGGGGCTTTTATTCCTAATAAAGGTTCTACATCTCACTGAGAGGCCAGAACTTGGTCTCTCATTCTTGTGCAGTTGGCTAATTCACAATGGCGCAGCTGATAAGTAAATCGGAACTTTTGAGAGCAGGATGCAACCTTGGGCACAAACTTTTACCTTAGAAAAATGCTGAGGGAGAGGGTTTTGCCAGATGATGTTTTAAAATTTTTCTTTAAAGATGCAACTCTGTCTCATTAACACTTTGATAGGAGACAGTACAGTTACATCCCCCACAGGAAAAACAAACTCTCATATAGTGGGTTGGCTCAGTTGCCTGCTCCTAAGGGGAAGATCAATCCAATATGATTGCTTCTTAGACCAGAACCCACTCCCTGTAAAGTACAGAGTAAATCTCAATTTCCTACCATGGTTCCTACTTTGGGTAACTTTGGGTATCTATGCACAAGGCGGTGGATTCACAGCCCAAGGAGGGTGGGGGGTATGGAACTCTACTGATAGCATAGGATTCCCATGTTTGGGGAGAAGGTATGAGAGAGTGGGAACCATGGACAGGGTCACCTGGCAAGTTCTGGCTTGTGGGGGTGGGGGGCAGAGAGGGGATAAAGCTGTGAAGGGATCAGGGACCAAGTCATAAGGAGTTTCAAAGGCCACTTTTTTATTATTTTCATTTTATGTGTATGAGTGTATTGCCTCCATGTAGGTAAGTGCACCCATGTTGTGCAATGGACAGAAGAGGCCATTGAATCCCCTGGAACTGGAGTTACAGTTGTTAGCTGCCATGTGGGTGCTGGGATTTGAACCCTGGTCTTCTGCAAGAAGTCAATGTTCTTAACCACTGGGCCATCTCTCCAGCCCCCAAAGGGGCCACTTTAAATGCTCTTTTACTGAGCAAACTGAGAATCCAGGGACATGTTCTGGACCCCAGACTGAATGACTGGTCTCATCATTAATGGAATCTTCCTGAATGCTGGGTGGAGATGACCATGTGGCAGAAACAGGGAGACTGTTTAAGAACTTTCTATGACAAATCAGAGATAGTAGCTCAGAATTGTGAGGATGTCACCAAATCCTGGATATAGTTTTATGTGGGGACTCAGGTTTGCTTTGCTTAGCAGGGGCCCTGCTGGCTTCGGGGCAGAGGGTCTGATCGGCGGCGACAGAGTCAAACTCTGGGACCTGTGTCTTCCCAACAGGACGATTTATTTTAGAATTTATATGGTTTTTATACATCCCAAGGAACTAGCCGTCATGTGGGATATGACAGTCACATACAAAGATTTAGGGTACAAAGAAACAGGACATTTAGTCTGTTAGTTGGC